ATACCACCTGATTTTTGAATAATAAAATTTGGTCCCTGAATTTTGAATTCCAATCTTTAAACACCTGAATTATTATAATTTCTCTACAAATTATCATAGGGTCCGATAGGGGATATAAATATATCGCTATACCTTATGTGAATTTTTAAGTGCTCTTAAAAATTCATGTACTTTTATATGTTCGCATCCGTTATAGAAATATAGTTGAAACATATATAAAAGTATGTTTAACATTATTTGAGAGAGACTGTTAAATAAAAAAGGAACATTGATTCGTCAAATCAATCGTGTTGTCAACGTGTAAAATTAGGGTTAAAACTTATTATTGCATGGGAATTCGGATCCTAGTATGTTTGTCATCTACTACATATATAAATATGCATTTAGAATAATTTACATTTAAGTTAGTTAAGTTACAAATCATTGTATAAGTAGATTATTTTATTCATAATTTTGTCACAAACAAATACATTATACTATTCTTGTTTCGGTTAAGGTCAAAATAATTAGATTTGAACTAATCAATCTCCGTGAGACGATACTTGGACTCAATTTCACTTTATTACTTATTAACGAACAGTACACTTGCGGTGGTTTTAATTTGAAATATTTTCACGATCAAACACACCCAAACTAAAACCTTTGTTCGTCTTCGAACAAAACAAAACACAACAAAATTTAGGAAATAAACTATATAACTAACCTAAACAAATCTTCAATAACAGAATCAACGTTAAACGATTTACCATATGCCTCAAGTTCGAATTTAAACAACACTTTAGAAAGATCCAAACACTATCAAAAATATTTTTTTACTTATCTGATACTCGACTTAGTGTGTGTGTGTGTGTGTGTGTGTGTGTGTGTGAATAGCCAATGTTAAACTCACACACATATTAGAACACAACCAATTAAGTGTTGTTGATTTAATCATAATCACAATCCTTGTATGGTCAGTTTTTCCGCAAAGTCACTCCTTGTGCTATTTTCTCCAATCATGAGGTATATTTCGCACATGTGGATTCCTAATAATCATTCAAATGTATTTTTCCGCACAAAGTGATTATAATTAAATATTTGTAAACTTAGAATAGAGATGGTAAGAATTTCTTAAAGTCACACCGCTAGTCTCTAGAGTTCAAATCTCAAAGTCTTTACCGAGAACCCTCACTTTTGATAATCTAAATCCCCTTTTCTTTTTTTCGTTATGAATATATATTTTGATTTCTGCTTCTTCTTTTTTTTAAAAAAAAAAAATCATGTGTAAGATTTCTCTCCATTAAGTTTTCTAAAGGACCCATGTAACGAACGTTAGGTCAATGACTCCTAAGTCAAATGATCATAGGATACCAAATTTTAGATACCATAGTAGGCTTAATAACTTAAGCCGTAAAGGTTACGAAAAGAAGTGTAAGATATATCACATTTTCTTTTGATATGGGATTCGAATTTTAACATTGGTCAGTAGAGGTGGCAAATGGGCCGTTCGGGCTCTTCAAAAGATGAGCATGAACCCAGCCGAGTCGGGCTCTTCAAAAGATGAGCATGAACCCGAGCTGAGCTCGCTTAGCTCAGGTCCACACGAGCCAGGCTCGTGGGCTTGTAAATTGGCGAGCCACAAGCCGAATTATTAGGGACCGAAACGGTCATTGACAAAAATTCAGTGACTGTTTCGGTACTAATTAAGTTCAGTGACTATTTGGTAAACAGTCACTGAACTTAAGTGACCAAAACGGTCAATGAATTTTTTTCCCTTTTTTGGCCTATAAATACCCACCCATTCCCATTTTTTTTCACCCAACTCGAACTCTCTACTCTCTAATCTCTTCTATATTTTACATTGTAAATTATAATCTTGATTTTACAATCTATCTTCTAGACTACTAGATAATCTACATTCATTTCTCAATTTTACTTTTACATTTAATTTCAATTATTCAATATCAATTATCACACTATAAATATTCAATATCAATCTTACACGTCAATTTTCTTTCANAATTACAATCTTACATGTCAACTTTTTTTCAATTCTTGATTTGTTACTTACTACACATTTTATATTAATTTGCAAATGATCCACGCTTATTTGTTGAAGGCTTGTTCGGTACCAGAGGCGAATCACCTATCACGCCCCAAGGTCAATTCCAGAATGAATTTGCAGGTCTAAACGAAATTTTTATTCCCCGAAAATATTCCAAATGTCGATGCTCATGGAAGTAGTAATCCAATTGATTTGGATGACATTGATATTTTTGAGGCGGAACGAGATGATGAACATGAATTAAATATTCCCGATGCAAGCGGGAAGGGAAAGGGAAAAGCAGATAAAATATTGGGATCATTTTAAATTGATTCAAACAGGTCGTGTGGTTGGTGGAGTTTCAGATCTAAAGCAATATGTAAATACTGTCAACAACGATTGATATGGCAAAAAGGCATTGGAATCACCCATATCAACCGTCACTATAAAGCATATGCGGCCAAACACGGGCTTCTTCCTGCCATCAAACACAACCACAATTTGATAGTCCAGGCACCGGTTCTATTACTACATCACTTTCTACGTGGATGTATTTGGAGGAGAAAGCTCGAACGGGGACGGTGAAGTTCGTTGCTACTGCTGAGTTGCCTCTAACAATAGCGGACAACAAATATTTCGTCTCGTACACCTTTCTTATAGAAGTTAGCACCATAGTTGGGGTAAGTCGAAACACTATTCGTTTAGATACAATTGAGTATTTTCTTCATACAAAAAACTATTGATTGCTGATTTAGAAAAATATGGGAGTGTTATATATTTAACTTCAGATATGAGAAGGGATTAATAAAAAAAAGTTATATAGTTGCAACTGCATACACTATATAGACCCATTTTGGTGTATGCATAAAAAAATTATTCCTTTTAAAATTATTAAGTTCCGTCACAGCACTAACAACATATATAACGCTATTATGAACATTAATAGATAATATCGTTGCGAGAGTAAAATTCACTCATTTACATTCGACGACGCTAGTGTTAATAAGGTAGTTATCGATAAATTGTGCAAAGTACTGTAGCCCGATTTCAGTGGTCATTTGTTTCATATTTGATGTGTGTGCCATATTTTTAATTTAATAGTGCAAGACGGTTTGAAACATATTAAGAATGAAATTCAAAAAATTAGGGATGCGCTAATGTATATCACAATTTCACCTAGTAGAAAACAAGCATTTGACGAATTTTGTGCCGAATGTGGGGTGACGAATACGAAAACATTTATTAGTGATGTAGTGCATAGATAGAACTCCACTTATTTATTGTTAAAATCATACGAAGATTTTGAATATTTAATAACTGAATTTTATAACAATAAGCATATTAGAAAAGATGATGATACTGCTTTGATTGAATCCGATTGGTTTTTAGCTTTTAAAATTTAAAAAATTTTGACAAGTTTTTATGATTCTACAAATATTTTGTCTGGAATTTACTATCTCATTAGTATTATGGTACTTGAACGTCTTTATATAATTTTTAGGGATTTTCATAGATATAAAAATAACCCCAATTTTAGTGTTATTATATATTCCATGAAATTAAA